GTAGTAATAATAAAGTCCTTAAAAGGTCCAATGTGGGACCCATTTTTGGGTCTCATAGCTATTATGGACATAAAAAGGGCCAGAATGATCTCTAACCAAATGGTCACTAAGAAAATCCTTGTGAAGGTGAGCTGTGGAAAGGCCAAACCAGGCTTTCCCGTGTGTCCTAGAGCACATGTCAGGACAGCTAAAGCAGTATCTTCCGTGTTGTGAGAAAAACCCATTCACCACAGACATGTTCAAAGTCAGCATCTTGAGGTCTCCTCATTCCTTCTTCCTCGAGATGTTGCACAACTCAAAGATGCTGGTTTTACCCTATTGGGCAAAGCTGTGATTTTTCTTTGTTTTGAGCCTCTGAGATGCAGGGTCTGGGTGGACTGGTCACTGTTCTGGCATCCCCAGTGGTGGAATGCCTATGTGGACAATCAGATTGCTCAGAGGAAGAGGAGAATTTCCTGACATCCTTATCCACATTCCAGGGTTTGCCTTTCATCTCCTCATCTGCACCACAGTGGCAAGAAAGAGAGAGGGTCATTAATGTTCCACCACTTGTAGAGACAAAGCTCCAGGGGCTCCTGCGGCTCGCATCCCTTGTGTGTGCTGTGAATTCCTGAGTTTGGGTGTAGGAGGGACCTGCACAGCCACAGTGAAGCAGATGATACAACTGAGGAACGTTTCAGCTAAGGACCTGTTGAGGTGGTGTTTTTTTTCTCTACAGTATTCAAGAACTTGCATTCGTGTTATGTGTCCTGTCCATACCAGTGGCATATAAATGCTGGAAGACAAATGTACTAGATCGTCAGTGGTCATTGACATCTCGGCAGCAATATGTTGATTTCTCTCACCTCAGGAAAAAACCTGGGATTTTTTTTTCTGCTTCTTGGGGAGAGGAGAGATGTTTAATCAAACTTGGAAATTTTCCTTGGATGATGGCAATAAGTCTAATCAGATGATAGTATTCATGTCAAAGCTGTTAATGCGGTATCTTACCATTATATTTGTTTTAAAGAGACTGACTTGTAAGCAGATGCTTACAAACAATTACAATTTTATGGAGTGTTCCTTATTAAATAGAGGAGATTTCATTGCTCATTTGTTTCTTGAGAGCAGTGATGCCTTGTCGTGTTCATTAAGTGCCACGTTCAGTGCATTTGGTTCCTTCGTATCCCATTTGAAGAATTACATGTTGATCAAGCTGTCTGTGTATGTGGGTACCTATGCACTATGGAGATAACTAACCTAATTATACTGATAAAATTTAATTATTGAAAGTGGTTATTATGATAATTTCAGATATTAAAAATTGGATACATTAGAGTTCCTTAGTCTTATTTAAATTTCAAACAGGTTGTACAGTTGGGTTTTTTAAATAAACTTTTATTTGTTTTAAAAATATAAATAAGTCATAAATACCATCTCTCAAATATTTTAAAAGCATAAGTTATACAACAATTTTTCTTGCTTCTAAAAATATTTTTTTTTGTTGAATACATATTAAATAAGTTGATATTCTGAATAGTACCATAAGAAATGAAATAAAATGTCCTTTGTTTAAATTATTTCTAAATACTGAAAATATAAATAGGAAACATTAGAAACTAATAAATATTTTAAATACAATAAATAGGTTCCTGGAAGGAAATGAGAATGTATATAAATGCAAACCATTGTTACTATTTCTGGTTCTTACAACAGAACAACACTGTCGTCTGCCACGTGACAGATTTGTAACAAAGGATTGTGCCTGAATTAAAACATTCAGACACTGAAACTCCTGGTGTTTTTCAAATAGCGAACGGCCCTCACGGTTTTCTCCATAAATGAAGTAAAGTCTCGGAGGATGAGGTGGGTGGTGATTTTCTCTATCCAGGTCTTATGGGACTTCAGCTTTGTGCGGAGGGATTCCTGGGTAGCTGGGTCTGGGATGGTCACTTCATCAGGATTGATCACCTGTGAAAAAGACAATATTGGGGTGCCCCAGTTAAAACACTGTGACTGAACTTGTTGGAGAGCATCAGTTTACGCGTGCAATATGTTCCGGCCAGCTGTGTATCCACCCTTTCTGTCCTGCAGACAACAGAGCTGCTGGGACCTGTGCTTCCCTGCAGCCCCGCTTCTGCGGTGGGGTTTGGTGCCTGCTGCGATTAGATTAGTGTGGAAGAATCAGAGGGTCTTGTCTGGTCTACACCGTTTGTTCTGGTTTGAATGGAAGGTCTGACGTGGTGGTCCAACACGCTGTGCTGAATAGGTCGATACACCTCTCCTGCTGTCTGCCAGCCACGTGGTTACTTGGGAGATGCTGATCATGATTTGTCCTAACCTGTACTGGCCGCTACGTCCTGAGTCATAAGTTAATTACATGACATTGGAGCACTCTCACATTTTGTGGCAGATTAGCAGTTTCCAAAGATGTCAAACTTGTTTAGCCACTTAATTCTTACTTTCCAGGCATTTAGGCACGTGGGAGACTTAAGTGTCGCCAACTTTCACTGGCGTGCAGATGAGTAACAGGAGTTATGTACCTAATGCTGACTGACAGCGCTGGGCACCCGGTGCCCAAATGCCTTTTAAGAACTTGTCCCGTGAAGTGGGTAGGTGACTCCTGAAAATGGGAGTTACTCACCCAAATCATGGAGCTGTTTTAGGTGATTGGGAATCTAGAAGTCTAATGGTAAAGTATCTGCTTCATCCTGGTTTTAAGATCTTTCCTACCCTTTAACAAGTGACAAAAGCACATGCACCTCCTTCTGGAACATCTTTTTTATGAAGTTCAGTAAAGTATTAATATTCTTTCTGTCCAGACTACTTGGAAATGGATTCTGATCACACACCCAGTGACTGGTATACCTAACTCCTTGTTGCACGCTGTAAAAACTTGTATCTGGATATCCAGACAGGTATCATGCTGATGGATCTGCCTGACCACGAAGTGGCAAGATTCTGTCCTTGCTCTCCTTGCCTTAAACAGCAGAAAGTCTTCTCTCATAAAGAAAAATTTCCAACCCGGAGATCAAGACTCCTCTCTTTCTCAAAACCTGTCTGTAACTACAGGTTTTGCTTTTGATCACTGTTTAATTCTGCCTGTTCCAATTACCTCTCAATCCTACTAATTTTCCCAAGAAGCTAGTCTCCCCCAGTTACAAAACAATCTTTTTGCAAACTAATTTATCAAGTTAGAAGCCAGTAGTCAGTTGCTGTCTTATGATGGGACTATTATTCTTAGCCAGCACAGTGTGAAAAAGCAGTTCAGCTCCCTTTCGCTTAAAGAATGATGGACATAAATAAATAAGTTAGGAAAGGTATGGCAAACACACAATGGGCTTTTCAGACGCCAAAAACCACCTTGAAGGAAATAATGCCCAGAGATTTCTGCAGTCCTTACTCACCTGGGTGGTTCTTACTCAGGCAAATAGTTTCCCTGATGACAAAGGAGGTATTCATGTTAAGGGTTATTAACATGAGTAAGAACTGCAGAATGAAGTGAATTTTTGAAGTGTGATCTTTCAAAGCTCTCCAAACCAGAAAACGACTGTCAGAAATGAATAGCATTTAGTTTACCAAATCAAGAGAGAACTGGGTATTTGTACGGAAGGAAGGTTTTTTTTTTTTCCATGATGATTACAAGCAAAATGTGTGCTTTTCAACAGGCGCCGCCTTTTGTTTAGTCAAGTTACTGAATTTAACTGTCTTCCTTGATTTTTAAGCTGCTGATATCTCGATATACCATACGGCTTAGCTTAATTATTTGCTTTTATTTATGCAGGGTTTTTTTTTTTTTTTTTTAAAGTTACTTATTTCTACTTCTCAGGGGGTTGCAACATTAGAAGGCTTGGACTGAACTGCAGTGCCACAATTAGGAACAAGTGCCCTGAGAAACCTCATTTCTGTCAGCCAGGCTGTTCTTAAAACAATGACCCATGTAATTGTTGGTTTGGAAATTAGTTAGAAATAACAATAGAAAGTAGGAAGAAGAGTTGTTTCTTTAAGAAAATAAAACAAAACTTTGTTTAACTTGTAAGTTAGTCGTAAGGGTAAGTACCTGAGCATAAAGAGCTGAGAGAAAGGAGAGCGGGAAACGTTCACATTCCCGTAGCATCCTCCTCCCTTGGCTACACATCAGCGCTAAGCCGGAACGATTATGAGAGTGAATTTAAAACCAACTCACCATCTGTTTTAAGGTACGTGCCAGGTGCTCTGTGCCATAGCACAGCGATTCGACGTTTTGCTTTTCACTAATAAAAGTTTCTTGTACGTATTCAAGGTATGTCTTGAACGCATAAAGCCCGCTGGCGATTTTCTTCAAGCATTTATCCTGAAATGAGAGAAAGGTGAGAAAGTCACTCACAGCTCAGAAGTGCCTCGATGGCAGCTCGGGGCGCCCAGCGCGGGTCCGGGCGGCGCTGGTGCGGGGCGTGGGGTCTGTGCGGCGGCAGGGCCGGCACAAGTCCCTAGGTGGGCTGCCGCGGCTTTTTGGAGCGGACAGAATTGCCGCAGGTGGATTAGAGGGGAAAGGGGAGCGGTTCCTTGCCTCATCGAAGCCGACGAGCAGACACC